TTAGAATTGCCAGCGTCTGGCTTTATTTTTGCTACAGCTTAATCCCTCAGAGGCTCCCAACCTGGAAATTTAGCCCATCTCTTTCAGAGCCCTCCTTTCAAGTACAGAAAGTTTTCCAGCAGTCTCTGCCCCACTTGCTTGTGGAATTTAGAATTAGATTATGCTACCAACACAATGGATTTGGTGGTCCAAACATAGCTACCTGCTCCCTTGTATTCTAAGCCACAGTATGAGATGCTGACCCATCTCTGCATTTCAATGAAGTATTAAAAATATCCTTCAGAGGGGGAGGAGCAAAGATGGTGGATAGATAACAACCGGCTACAGAAGCTCCCTGAGATAGTCAACTTAGAATTCAACATAATACAGAATGGGGAGCCCCAAACAGAGTGAGATGAATTCTCTCGTCCCAAGAAGTTAAGGTGACTTGCCAACCATCCGAGGTCTCGCTGCGACTGGCCAATGCTGTGACTTGCCGGGGTCCTGCTGTGACATGCTGAGAGGTCTCGCTTCAACTGCCCGAGTTCCTGCCACGGCTTGCCAAGGCCCTCCCCTAACTGGTCAGGTCCCGCCTCAATCTGCCAGGGTCCCAGAGCAACTTGCCAAGCCTTCTGAGGTCCTGCCCCTTTTGAAACTCACTGGAGACGCAGTTACATTGAGTTTGGGGGTCAGCAAGCTGAATGGAGAACTCATTTGGCGGGGAGCCTACATTGACCTGTGGTGAGTGACTAGAGTGGAGCCATTCCATAAATAGGGGGGCCCCAGCAGATAACATTCTGGGATAGGGCAGGACTGGCAAGTACAAGGGAGAGCAGTGACTTCAGTCAATTGTTCCCTTCCAAAACGGGATTGGTGGAGTGAGCTAGACCTAGGTCACGTGACCAAGGTCAGCAGTGGCGTATGCTAACCACACTGGCCCAGTGGGGCCTCAGAGGTTTGGCTGGTCCAGAGAGAGGCTTTGTTTTGTTTCTCCCTCTAATATAGAAAGGATAAAAATACATGTTAAGACTCATGCATGTGTAGAATCTATAAACAGTTTATGAGAACTGATCACATGACACATGATGAAATGAACAGATACTTTGAAGAAAAAGAGATAATAAAATACCCAGTGGTAATCCTGGAATGTCATAATGTGAAACCCAGCAATAGTATTATTCTTTGTTCAGAGTGATACTAGCCTGCTTGAGTTTATTCAATCTCAACATACTTGAAGATATGGATAACTGAATGTATGTTTAAGTGTATAGGATTGACAACCATATAACTAAGTTTTTGTTGGATAGTTGAACAGAACTGTTTGCAGTCTCACTGTTTGAATTCCCACTTTACATGTTCCGTTTTTGTATCTTGAACAACTATTTGTAAAACGACAATATGTAAACATCAACTAGTGATTTCTTACTGTTCATTTTTTTCTCTGAACGTATGTATTACTGTCTACCTATTTTCTGTTTTGTTTAGTCTTTCTTTAAATAAAATTTTAAAGAAAAGAAAATTCCTTCAGTTCTTTCTGCTGTTAGTCTGCCTAAAGTCTGACCACTAAGATCAGTCTCTGAACCCTTACCAGTAACATATTCCTTAATATATTAACAAACAACCCTTACCTGTGCTTAGCTTCTTTTGCCAGTCTACCTTGGGGTAGAATCTTGTTTCTGGTACTCTCTCTGTGCACACCTGCCCTCCATGTAGACCAATGCCTCACCTCACCTGCTTGATATTCCCCCACTTGCAAACTAGACTGTTTGATGTCTTCATGGAATGACCACTTCCTGGACTTGGTAGTTATATAAATGTCACCACCAAACACAATATTTTTATGTACTTTGCCTTAGACTGCTTATCAAACAAATGAGATTAAGTAACTGGATTTAAATGTACAAAATAAAAAAGAGTAAATATCCAATTTTAATATATAAGAAACCATGAACATTTTGTGGGTAAAATTCAATATCAGTTCTCATTGAAATAAAAATCTTAAATAAAAGGTTAATAATGAGTAATTATAGATCTCCCACCTTACTACTTAATGATGACTTTGTTCATAGAGTTGAGAATGAATATGTATAGCTTAATAGTTTGAAATGTAATGAATAGAACTTCTTTCAGGGCCTGTGTGTTAATATTGCTTATGTGAATGCTCTTATGAAAATCTAATGTTAGTTGATCTTTAAGTTCTCCTGTTTCTGAGACTCCTCTTTGGTTATTTCTCAAGATCCCACAACACATCACATATTTAGAATCATCATTTTTCCAGACAGAGCACCACCTATGAACTCTCTTCTTTGTAGCTTCCTATAAATAGTAACATTAATTTCACTTCATTTTTTTTCTTGTACTTGTAGTCCCCAAATTTCTGTCACAATGAATACTTTGTTAGAGCAAATAGTTCCTACTAAGACTTAGTCTTATTTTTAAGATTACATGGGATATATGGGTGGGTCTTTTGAAAACTGAAAATCTAGTTGCAGAATGTAGCATAAAAACTACAGAAGTAGCTCCAGCAGCAAGGAGCTTAGGACCCAAAAAGCTCAGCCTGACAGTTTCTGGTAACTCCCACCTAACTTGCTTTCTGATACAACCTGTCACATTTCACTTTGTTGACTGATAGTTCTCATCTCAGTCTCTCAATTTGAACATCTTGTTTGAACTAAGTCAACATTATTCAGGCATTAACAACTTTCTGTTTGACAGTACTAACCTCAAGGGGTCAAAATTCCCATAAAGTAAAAGTATAATCAGAATCTCCACCTATTCCAGTGTGGGTTACAACCACACTGGAGAACAGCTTGTCAGTTCCTCAAAATGTTAATAGAATGTCCATATAACACTTGTGTTCCTGGGTATACAGCCAAGAGATGTGAAAGCCTGTTTCCACAAAAACTTGCACACAGATGTTTGTAGTGTCATGACTATATTCATAATAGCGAAGAGTAGAAACAACTCAGATGTCCATCAGCTGATGAAATGAATAAACAAAATGGGATACATCCATACGTTGCATATTATTCAGCAATAAAAAGAAAGAGGTAGTGATTCATGTTAAACAGGAACATGGAAAAGATCATGAGACCACATATTTAGTATTCTACTTACAAAATGTTCAAAGTAAGCAAACCCACAGACACACAGAGGCAGTTAGTGTTTGCCAGTCAGGGGATAAAGGAATGGACATGAGGTGTTTTTAGGCTGGTAAAAGTGTTTTGAGAGTGTGATCTTGCACAGCTTTTGGATCATTTAAAACTATTTGAATTATACATTTCAAAAGGGTGAAGTTTATGGTATGTCATTACAAATTTATCAACATTTTCTCTCTATACAAAGGTATTTTTAATGAAATTGTTAGAAGTTTTTCATAATTAATACTATAATTTCATAAAAAAGTTAAACACATCAAAAGTGATATCATCTTGTTATATATCAAGTAATTTATAATAGTTGTGTATGGCACTTCCACCAATCTGAATGTTAGATACTTTTAGCAAGAATAGAGTACCATATAGCAAACATTTAATACTAATGTTCTGTTTGTATTGTCCCAAAAGTCAAATGACCTGTAGAAAAGCATTTTTAAGTTGTCTTACCTTAAGAATATCAATTAGAAATACCATTTTATGTAGCAATGGAAGAACCATTGCTACAGACTGAAAATTGAATTTGAAAACCAACCTGGCACTCACTAGCAGCTTGTTCTTTTTAAACTGTTTGACATTTCTGAATCTCAACTTCCTCATTTTTAAAATACTTGCTAGAGCTGTTGTGAGGATTAAATGAGATCCCAGAGATGAAACAGATTATGCTCTTTGCTTCCTCCACCTGCACATACTGTTTCTGCCCCATCCTCTGTGTACCTTCTCCACCTCACACACACACAACACACGACTACACAAACCAAGTGTCGTCTCTTTTCTATATCTTTCCAGTGAACCTGGAATGTTATTTTGAATGGAAACACCATACCTTATCAATTTTTTATTCGTAATTATCTGCCTGCCTTCAAAAAACTTTAAGAGGGAAAAGAAATTTCCACATATAATCGCCACATATAAATATTTCAGTTTATTGTGTGTGTGTGTGTTTTTTTTTTTAGTTTATTGTGTTTTAAACAATAAAGCAACCACATATCTCTGTGTGGGTGTATAATGCCCATTTCCTTGTACAGTGCCTCAAAAATACCTGAGTAAATGAATTTCAGCATCATATTCAGCATTATTCTAGGTTTATAATACTTTCCTGAAAAGATACAATATATCTTAGTTTTGCTTTCTGCTAAAACATAATCAACTGAAATATTTTCAAAGTTATATGTGATGATTTATATGTTCAGGGAAAATGTTATTACTACTTATACATTCGGAATGAACAGAATGTTCTTTATCTGTGTTATAATAGTGCCATATTTATCTTCACAGTTTGTACATTGTTTCCTGGTAATGTCCACATAGATATGTTTGCTAACAGAATTTTATTTTATGAGAGTTTGTAGTTGAATGTACATATTTCATGCCTTTTTCTCCACCTATTTTATTTAGAATTAGAATGAAATAGAAATCTTAAAGACAAGCCTATAAATTTAAGAAAACTTCAGAAAATTATAGAAAATATGTCACTTTAGCAATGTAACTGAAACTTGAAAAAATATAGTTGGAGCCGTATTTAATGACATGACAAAGTGAGTAACATGAGTTACTAAACTGAATGTATATATGAAATTTTAAAGCTGTTAGAAGTAAATACAGATAAAGCTTCAATGTCTTATAAAATGATACACAATAATTATTTTTGAATGCTAAGTGTAGAATGAGGAATTTAATTGGTATGTTATGCTCCTTGAACTAACATTTTCATATATATGCCTACCTAAATTATTTATAGAAGTTTTGATAAACACATATCAATTATTAACTATATGATATAAGGTTCTGGAAAGAGATGTTAGCTTTATGTTTATATAAATCATGTAGATTACTTACTTAGAAGCTCCTATCTATTTCTTTCAGGTACAGAGAACTACAACTGAGTACAGAAAGCAAAGTAGCAGAATTTCTCCATCAAAGTAAATTGAAGGCTTTTGAAAGTGAGCGTGTTCAACTTCTTCAGGAGGAAACTGCAAGGAATCTCACACAATGTCAGCTGGAATGTGAAAAGTATCAGAAGAAGTTGGAGGTACTGATAGTTTTCTTTCAATGTTAGCATCTCATGTAAACTCATGTTAGCATCTCTTGTAAGGTCCTTAAGTGCAGAGTTTATGTAAAGTTTTATTTGTCCTGGAGCACCTCACATTGTCCTCACAAAAAGACAAAAAAAATGTATGGATTTCAGAAAAATGCATACTACAAAGGACCAAGTTGTTAGAAGATAGTACAATTACTTTAAATGCTTTTGCTAAGAAAAATGTAATCTATACATTAAAAACCAGTAGAACTTTACTGACATGTATAAGAAACTTAGTCTTCTAGGAAAGGGAATCTTCAATATTAAATATTTTCTAGTTTTCATCAAGTAACATATCCTTTATAATAAGATTCTAACAGCTTGCTATTTTTTAATTCTGTAGTATAACTGGAAGGGAAAAGTAAAGAGCAGCCAATATCTTTAAAGAAGATTTTTCAAAACAGTAAAGGAAATGTATATGGCCAGGCATAATGGCACATGCTGTAATCCCAGCACTCAAGAGGCTGAGGCAGGCAGATCACCAGGAGTTTGGTGCTTGTCTGGGCTACATAGTGAATTTAAGACCATCCTGAATTACAGAGTGAGACCCTGTCTCAAAAAAGGGGAAAAAAATGTATTCTAACACAAGAATAATTAAAACACAAAAGAGTCCATAAATGACATAAGATTTAAAACTCTAAAACATATTTACCTAAACTTTAAGTTATTTATAAATTTAAGTAAAGATCAGATCAATGAGAAAAATATGGATTGAACAATAAATGGTGCTCCAATAATCATTTGAGTATTTAAAAAATATAGTTGGAGCTATATTTAATGACATGACAAAGTGACAAACATGAGTTACTAAACTGAATGTATATATGAAATTACAAAGCTGTTAGAAGTAAATACAGATAAAGCTTATTTGGTATCAGTTTTGAAATTAATCTGTTATTGATTAAAGCAAAGAAATATGGGAGAAATAAAAACTATTTTTAAAAGTCTGAATAATACAAAGGCAAATTGAAAATGAAGAATAATATTTGTGTTATGTGTGATAAAGGGTTCATGTCTTTAACTTAAAAAGATCTCTTGCCCGTTGTGGTGCCACAGACCTATAAGCTCAGCTAATCGGAAGGCCAAGATAGGCGGGCATAGGAGAAAGGCAACTTGAAGGCCAACCTGGGCAATTTAGATAGTGTCTCAAAACAGAAAACTCACTGCTCCCCTAGTTAAATTCTTCCAATACCCACACACACACACAGATGTGCACATGCACACAGCCCACCCACACATGCACACCCTCCACACACGTGTATACATATCTCTTGCCAAGAGAATACATCTTCCTCTTCTAGACATCTACCTAGATAAAGAGGTAGAAATGTAACCTTCCATTTTTTTTTAACTTTCATTTGGGTCTGTGCATTGTTTTTAACATACCAGCAAGAGTGCCTCAAATAGGAAATCTCATGCAGTAAAAAAATGGAAGCTGGGCATGGTGGCACACACCTGTAATCCCAGCTCTCAGGAGGCTTGGGCAAGAGAATTGCCACAAATTTGAGGTCATCCTGTGCTACGTAGTGACTTCAAGGCCAGCCTAGACTGGATGGTGAGAAATTGTCTCAAAAAACACAAGAAAATGGAAAAGCTCTTCCAAACTTGGTGACACAGGCCTGTAATTCCCTGCTACTCAGTAGGCTGAAGCAAAAGTTTAAGCCCAGGGCTGGGGATTTTGCTCAGCAGTTCAAGCGCCTGCCTGCACGGTAAGCACGAGGTACAAAAAAAAGAGGTAGTTTAAGCCCAGTCTGAATAACTTAATGAGACCCTCGGAGGACTGGGGATGTAGTTTAGCACTACCTAAGTTCAATCTGCTTTACCAAAGAGAGGGAGGAAGGGGTAGTGGAATAATGTTCGTGGTGATCTGTGTTAAAAGCCCAAAAAATTTTTAAGAGAGTGTATTTCCAGGTCTTTGCCAGTATCTGACGTGCCATCAGTTGAGTTGAAGGGATTCAGTGGTTTCTAACTGGATACCTACTAGGTAAAATGCTTTTTACTACGTCTTATTACTTACACAACTTTAGTAAGAAATTGTTTCTATCTGCAAGAAACTAACAGTTTGAGCCAAACTTTGAATAGAATGTTGTATAATGGCAGTATTCTATATCTGTACTATCTATAGTCAGTAGCCACTGCCCACATATGATTATTTAGTACTGAAAATGTGGTTAGTACAGCTGATGAAATGTCTTCCTTTAATTAATCTTAATTAATTTAAACCTAAATTTAATTAGCCACAAATGGCAGGCTAATGGCAGATGACTCTTAAGCTATATTAGAGTGCATGCTAGACAGTTGACAAGATCCCGTATGTCTTCACTGTGGGGCAGCAATGAGTTTTTAAAATAGTTTTGTCATTAAAAAAATAGTCTTTTCTGTCTAGTAGGATTTCTTATATGGTTTTGAATAATGACTAGGCCTATGGTGTTCAAATTAGTGAACCTGAGACCTGAATCCCAGTTAGTCACTGCTTTCTGGAGAAGTTACTCATTTTGCCAACGAGAAATAACAGCAGCTGCCTCATACCTTATTATAGAGAGCCTCTTTGGCTCAGATGAAGCACCCATTTATTCTTAGCACCTATTAAAAGTTCTCAAAATACTATCTTTTCAAACTATAGAATTTTTGGTTTTGTACAGTAAGAAATACAAGGAAAATTAAAGTATTCCTTCCCAAAAGGTAACTATGAGTATTTGTAGATAAAAAGATAAATGAAAGGTTTTTTTCTACTTTTCAGATCTCATAAATGTGGCAGGTAAACACAAACATTTTATGCTTCTAATTTTCCTTTCTGAATATGAAAGTTTCCCATAGTTATAAAAATATGTAGCTATAGGTCACTAAACAGAAGCTAAGAGGCAAAGAAACTGAATTAGCCAGTTAAAAGCCTTTTCCAATTTAAAATTTGTCCAATATTAAAGCATTTTCTACAAATTATAATGTAAAGCAATTATAGGGTAACCTTTCATAGAATACAGCTTTTGTATAATCTAGAAATACATGTGCTGTTTATATCAATCACATATCTAAATACTTCTTTTTAACCATTTCCATGTAACTGTCCTCTCAAAACTACTTTGAGGCTGGAGATTTAACTCAGCAGCTCAAGCGTTTGCCTGGTAAGAATAAGGTCATGAGTTCAATCCCCAGTACCCCCCCCAAAAATAAGTACTTTGATTTGTACATTCTAAATGAGTGTGTTGATGGGTGTGATAGTGCAGTCACAAGGTAGAAGGATGCTGTGAGTTTGAGGCAGGCTCGGGCTACATAGTGAGTTCAAGGCCAGTTTGAACTACATAGTAAGGCTCTGTCTCAAAAACACACAAAAAAGAATGTATTAGTTTTTAGAAACAGTTTGGCAGCGTATTTGTAAGGATACACCTTAAATACTTAAATAAAAGCTTCATGCACAGATACTCATTACAATATTAGAACAAAGAACTGAAAACTAAAATCCCATGAAAAGAAAAAATTACCAGGAGGGAAGGTTGGTGGTAATCCAGCCGATATTTTATAACCACAGAGTAACATGTAAAATACACCGTTGTCATAATATTAGGTGATGGGCTGGGGATTTAGCTCAGTGGCGTAAGCACCTGCCTTGCAAGCAGGTGGTCGTGAGTTCGATCCCCGGTACCGGGGAAAAAAAAAATCCTATCCATAATATTAGGTGAAAACAGCCCCTTTCACAACCACATACACTAGATTTTTAAAAAATGTATGAGTGCCATAAATTTATAGTAGTTATAATTGATTAACAAATAGGCTATAGATGAAGTTTATATTTTATTTCTATTTTTTTTTCCTTACTGAAGTTAAATTACTTAAGGTCACACAACTAGTATCTCAGCTGCTGTGATTATAATTCACATCTGACCAACCTGTCCTGAGTTTCCATAGTTTTTAACCACCATAAAAGTCTAGTAATAAAGTACTTATTGCAAAAATCCCTGAAACATGATACTTCTGAAAAATACTCTGATTAGTAAAGTAAGTAAAATTACCAAGATAAAGAACCTCAGAAAATAAAGCCTTGACAAAAAGCCAAAAATGGCAGTGGATAAATGTGTATATGTAAGGCACATACGCAGAAGTTGTACATGGTGAGTACTTCTAAACCAAAACCATGTCAAGCATGTAAAACTATTTCCTATCCTTCTTCAGACATATGCTGCAGAGTAACAATGTGTAGCAGCCGATTCTTCAGTACATTTTCACTTAGACTTTCTCAAGTTAGCTCTAATTTGGAGTTTGTCTTTTGCAAGTTGTGGCTTAACTTTTCATAATTCCTAGCAAAATGCCTTTTCATATTGAATCACTGTGCTTAAGAATGTCTTAGGCCCCAGACGAAAGGGATAGATGAGAGAAGCTATTTATATTGAAAGACAGAAAAGCATTTCTCTTGTACTTCTGAAAACATTTTACAAAACAGTACTTTATAACACAAACAATACTTATGGGGCTGATGTTTTCCAAACCTTCCCTTTTTTACTGGTTGTTAACCAATCCTCCTAAAGGTTGTAACTTGCAGTTTGAAAACCACTGTCCTACAGGTCTGACCACTTAAGTCTGTGGATGCAGGTAACTAGTAATTATTATATTCCTTTGCTTGGAGGCCTTTTGTAGACAAAAACTTTTGTAAAAGTGCTATGACTTAAAATCTCTGGATGATAAAACCGAAACTCAGGGGAAAATTTCTTTACGTTTTTCTTCTTCTGTTAAACTAACCCTTGGAATGACAGGAACTATTCAGTCATCATTGTGTCTCCAGTGCCTAACACAGTGCTTCTCTTATGGTAGAGATTTGATAAACATTTAACAAAAGGGTACATGGTTCAATTAAGACTAATATAGTACCATTTCTAAAAAGTTCCTTTTTTAGATCTATGGATGGTTCTTGTTTATAATGGAGTTAGAAATCATTTCATGAGAGGTAAAAATAGTGGGATTTTCTGTGAGTTTCACTCCAAATTCTCATTGATTTGTAACTTGGGGATGACTATTTTAATTTGCTTAATTAATTGGCAAAGCCTGCACAAATACCAGCTTTATATGTTTGTCTTTTTAAAGCAATTATTGACCTATAATTTTATATTATTACTCAGTTAATAAACCTTTTAAAGGAAGACAATGTCTACTACAAGAACTTTATATTTGATAAATTCATGAAGTATGATTGACCTATTTTATGCCTCCATATTTAAATACCTATATTGGTTGTTCCGAAAGAATCTTTAATATAAATCTACCATAGGTTCAATAATCTAATTATTCTTATGCTTTCCAGAAACAATAATGAATTTATTCCTAGCAGACACTGAGACAAATCCATAGTAAAAGAGAATCTCCAAACCAGAAGTTCCTGAAATTCTCTCCTCCATGTTATGAAAAGACTTATTATATCTCCCAATTTAATACTTTTTAAAAATCTCTTCTTAAAATAATACTTTATATAATATACCATCTTTAGCATTTTCGCTGTTTACCTCTTTGAATATGCATTTGTGCAATTTCTCTTTTTTGTTTTAGTTGGGGAGAATGGAGTACAGATGAAAAGACTGTAAATAGTGATTTAAGACATACTGATTCATTTTCTGTCTTTCTCTACTAAGGATTAAACCTAGGGCCTTCGTGCTGAGCTACATCTCCATCCCCACCCACTTTTGTAAAAATTTAACTCAGAATCTCACTAAGTTGTCTGGGTTGGTCTTGAACTTGGTACCCTCTAGGCTTGGCCTCCCAGAGTGTGGGGTATATAAACATGTTCCATCACGTGTGGTTCTGTCTTGAAAGTAAGATTAATAAGTGTTATGAACCTGAGGATTCTTTTTATATTATACTACAATGTAATGAGCTCCATGAGAACCCAAGATTGTTCAGTGAGAAGAGTTTTCTTTTAATGAATAATAAGATTCTAGAAATCACATAGCTAGCCAGCATAAGTAAAGAAGAACTAATACTAAACCAGTGAATTACGTTTTTCTGATCCAGTGAGAGACACTAGAAATCATCCTAAAAATATTATTCCCGTGTTATTTCTTCTGCATTGTCCAAAGGAGTATATCCAGATGATAATGCTTTGCTTACCTTGGGGGTAAGTTTTGGTGAAAATTGAAGGAAATGACACAGGATGAGGTAACGAAAATTGAATTACGATTTTTGCCTGTGAAGAATTAAAATTTGGTCTTTTTATCTTCTATTTTTCCAACATCAGAGAAAGCACATAATCATAGATAATAAATAAGGTGTACATTATGTCATTACAGAAAATAAGTTCTCAGAAGATTTAGAGAATTCTGGGTAATTGAAGCAGGGGAGCACTCTTTCTATGAGCTGTTTCATACAAAGTTCTAGTAATTATATTTCTTAGGATAGAAATGTTGCATTTCAACATTTTCAATGTTCTACATACTCTGCTAAGCACGATAATTTTATCATCTCATTTATTCTTTCCAATAGTGTTCTGAGGAAGGTCTAGAAAAAGTAACTAATTGCCTAAGATCACAGCTAGTAAGCATCAAAGCTACATTGAAATTCAAATCTTTGCAATTCCAAATCATATTCCTAACTGTAATATTGTCACTTCTCAGAAAACAGTATTACTAAAAAAAATTTTTTTTAAAAAAAGGGAACAATATTAGTTATGCTGTGTTAGGAAACAGGTGTAGTAACACTTCAGAGTTGAGTCAATATTTGTAAGTAAACTTTCTGAATAATTGGAATTCAAACATTGCTTAGTCATGAGAAGCATCTTCTTTTTCAGCTAATTTATTATGATCATAGAGATTCATGCATTGAGTTACCACTGACGAATGTAGGAGTTTTTTCTGTTACACAAAAGGGCTCCTATTTCTCTGTCTTTGCATCTCGTTTTAATACGTTTTTAATCCTTTCTTTCTTTACAAAGATATTTTCTTGTATTACTCTAACTACAAGTTCACATTTGGCCTTTTGATTGGCTGCTCTAAATTTTTGACTTCAGAAAACCAAAAATGTTATTGAGACCATGGAAAGGGTAGATGCAGCAAACTCTGGTGAAAGACTGAAGGAATTATAATATTTGTGCTGTAAAGAGCTGTGGTCCTGGTTAAATGACCTTTAGATAAGTATGAAATTACATTTTTTTGAATTCTAACAAGCAAATACTAACTTTACTCCTTTAACCAGTTCAGACTTTTAAATTCATTTTTATTTACCTCATACAATAGTGATAAAGTGCTTCATGAAATTCAGTTTAAAACAACTGAATTATTTTATTTGTGTTTTGTTTTGGGGGTTTTTCTTTTTGGTACCAGAAATCGAACTCAGGACCTCCCACTTGCCAGGCAGGTGCTTATGCTGCTGAGCTAAATCCCTGACCAACAACTAAACTATTTACCTGAGAAATAAGTGTATATTGTTTCCTCATTAGTCATCTCAATTGAACTGCTTTCCCTTAATATTTAAATAATTTAAATTAGCCTAAATATATCTTAGTATGATCTTTTTGTCTTAACTAGGAACCTATTTGGTTCTTAATTCTATAATTTTTTTTTCACTATTAGGTTTTAACTAAAGAATTTTATGGTCTCCAAGCCTCTTCTGAAAAACGCATTACTGAACTTCAAGCACAGAACTCTGAACATCAAGCAAGACTAGACATTTATGAGAAACTGGAAAAAGAGCTTGATGAAATAATAGTGCAAACTGCAGAAAGTAAGTCTCCCCTTTCTTTCCTCTCTAGTCCACCATCCAGTGTCTTCCTAACAACAGAAGACACCTGGCATCCAAAGGACTTTGAACAATTGGTGACCATTTTTTAAGGAATATTCTGTATTTTAAATATTAGTTCATATTCATTTTGAACAGTTGTAATCAAGGAAAAAGTAGGCTAAATATGATAGATGTTGTCTAGTTCACTCATTCAGCAAGTGAATTAAGTTCCAATTTCTATCTTTTAGGAAGTGGGAATATAGAATTCACAGAAACAATTCTTACCTTATAAGCGTTCTTAGTCTAGTCTAGAAACACAACATATTAACAAGTAATTAGGGGCTGGGGATTTAGCTTAGAGGCATAAGCACCTGCCTTGTAAGCAGGCAGTTGTGAGTTCGATCCCTGGTACCGATAAAAACGAAAAAGACAGAAAAAAAAAAACCAAGTAATTAAAGCACTGGGTGCTGTAAACACGCGGTAATGCAGCTCTGAGGGGAAGTAGAGAAGAGATCATGTGAAGGCAAGGAAAGTCTAAGAAGAGAGATAGACGATACTTGATTGAGTTTTGAAATACAGAAATTCATTGGCTGTACTGTGCTTTATAATCTCTAGCCTTTAATTTCTAATTCTTTTTCCTCCTCTTATGCTATCTTCCTGTCTTAAAGGGGTATTTTTAAATTAATCTATTACTGGTAAGTGTGATATTTGCAGGAGTAGTACATTTTTTATTTTCAAAACTCAAGAATCAACTAGCTTTTTTTTGGCAGGGTTTCACTATGCAGATCATTTCAGGCTGGCCTTGAACTCACTTTGTAGCCCAGGCCTGTCTCAAACTCCCAAAAATCTTGCCTCAACCTTCTAAGTGCTGGGATTACAGGCATGCATCTTCACACCCAGCTACTCTGGCATTCTTATACAAGTGAGTTTAAACTGAATCTGAATCTAGATAAGGTTCTATTTAGGGACACATTTTCATTTTCTTATTTTCCATTTCCACCATCAGTGTCTGACAACTGGAATAAGTTCCAAACTTAAGTTCCATTTTTTCACTAGCCAAAATATATCTCTGAAATATAAATTTTATCATGATATACAGTACCTGCTTCTCTGAAATCTTTATTAAAACAGCATAAAGTCAGATTCCTTACTATGACTTTTATGATTAGACTCTTACCCTTTTAGTTTTCATGCTTTCCATTCCTTTACATGTCACACTATTTTTAAAGTTCCATGTTTCTTAACTCTAACTTACATGTCTCTTTGTTTAGACAACTTAGTAATAGTAGGAAACTTCTTCAGTCTAATGACAGGAGCTATAACCTATGACTAGTATTCTATTGAACACTTTCCCTATTAAAAAACAGAATGAAAATAAACCAATAAAAAATGCTAGGGAGGCTATGGGGGAAAAGGACCCTCTCCCACTGTTGGGGGGAGTGTAAATTGGTACAACCAATATGGAGATTCCTTAAAAGGCCAAAACTAGAGATGCAATTTGACCCAGGTATACTCTTTGTTGGGTGTGATCTCTGTGTGTATCAAAGGTATACCAATAAAATTAATTTCAAAAATAAGTAAAAAAGAATAAAACAAGGATTTCTATTTTCATGACATATTAAACACTATTTTGGGCCTGAGGATTTAGCTCAGCGGCATAACCCCCTACTTGTTAAGCACAAGTATGTGAATTTTGATCCCTGGTGCCAAAAAAAAGAAGAAGAAGAAGATAAACACTATATTTGATTCCCTAATCAATGAAATAAAGCATGAAAATGAGAAATCGAAGATACAAGGATGAAGATACAGCTCAATGGTAGAGCATTTGCTTGCAATATACAAGCCTTTAGATTTGATCCCCAGTACCACCCCAAAAAAAGATCAGAAAGGAAAAAGCTATTTCAAATACAAAACAAGCACTAAAGCTGTAAGTTAATTAGCAAAATAAAAAGTCATTGAACAACACTATGCTAGAAGCAATCAGAAACATAAATATATAAAGCAAGCCAGGCCTGGTGATGGGTGCCTATAGTCCAGCACCGTCGGAGGCAGAGGTATGAGGACCACAAGTTCAAGCCCTACTTGAGCAATTTAGAAAGAACATGTATCAAAAATACATGTATCAAAAATATTAAAAAGAGCAAGGACTGTGACTCAGTGTAAAGGTCAATTCCCACTACCACCAAAAGAAAAAAAATCCCACAAAATACTTAGGATTATGTTTGTGTCCATCCCCCCCCGGCCAAAAAAAAAAAAAAAAAACACAACATACTGCTAAGAATAAGGAAACTTCCTGTGCATCAATCCTCCAAACTAATTCTTGTCCTAAACATAATGGCAGCAGGTTCTTTTGTGTTTGATTTATATGCAAAGACAAAAGACATAGAATAGGCAAAGCAAACTTGAATAAAAGGACATTAAAAAACTTTTGTTTTTTGGTACTGGGTATTGAACTCACAACCTCGAGCTTGACAAGCAGACACTTATGCTACTGAGCTAAACCCCCAGCCCAAGATTGGAAAACTTACACTGCCTACTTTTCAGTGTGCTAGAGACTTAATGTAGCTTACGGTACTAGTGTCAACAAAGAATGAAACAGACCTACTCAGAAACATCCATTCATAATTGACTATTTGATTTTTAATAAAGGCAGCAAAGTAATCAACTGAAGAAATGAAAGTTTGTTCAATAAATAGTAATAAAAAACTGGACATGTTTATGGAAATGAACCTCAATACATCAATAATAATTTTAAATGAGACCTAAATATAGCTGCTAAATCTGTAAATCTTCAACAGAAAATAAAGGCATTTCTATAACAAAGATTTTAAAACAGAACCCTGGAAAATTGCCATAAAAGAAAAAGTGACATAGTGATCACAATCAAAAAAAAATTTTTTTTTATTTTGAAAGTATACAACAGAACAAGTCAAAATAAAGCCAACTAAGATCGTACAGTGAAATTGGTACAGAACTTCACAGCAAGTTAACGGGATAACAGTAATAGGTATCACAGTATATTTTGTTATCTTTATAATAGTGGTTCTTTCAATCATGTATATCAAAATGAGATGAAATATAGAACACTACAGAACTTACCAAAACAGAATAGAAATTGAATAGAGCAGTACCATTAATCAGAATAGAGTGAAACAATAATAAAAATATTTGCCTTCAAAGAAATGGTAGAAGGAAGTCCCCCTTATTTGCTATGGTCAAACTCCCAGGAGATGCCCAGATTTTTGGTTTCCATTTGCTAATGGGCGGGGGTCAGGGAAGTAGGATATTAGATTCTAGGCCATGTAGCAGTAGGTTCACTATTGCTAAGCAGGGAGGCAGAATGGTCATTTGTTTTCACAGCGTCCTAAGTTCCAACATGGCGTGGATCTCAGGAGACACTGCTGGTTCTTCCCCTGGAAGGGCTGCAGTCTGCCACCCTGCCTCTGCTTACCAGGGAGGGGAGGTGCTTGCTTGGCTTCCTAGAGTCCTAATTTCCAGCATGGCATGGATCTCAGGATACACTGCTGGTTCTCCCCCTGGAAGGGCTGCAGTCTGCCACCCTGCCTCTGCTTACCAGGGAGGGGAGGTGCTGGCTTGGCTTCTCGGTGTTCTAAGTTCCAACCTGGCGTGGATCTCAGGAGACACTGCTGGTTCTTCCCTTGGAAGGGCTGCAGTCTGCCACCCTGCCTCCACTCACCAGGGAGGGGAGGTGCTGGCTTGGCTTCCCAGAGTCCCAAGTTCCAAAAAATTTTTTTTCTTTTCACATCTATTTTAAAGAGAAAAATAAAACAAAAATTTTAAAACAATAGTAAAAATGGTATATGTATTCTGTATTGTGTATATATATTTATTGTTTCACAATCAAAATTTGAAAGTACTCTTCAAAAGACATGACTAAGAATGGAGTATTCACACCACAGACTTTTATATCTGACAAAGAAATGGTATCCAAAATACGAAAATACTAGTAGGAAATATTTGTAGAACAGACAAACAACTGGCATCTAGTTGTGATAAGACTGGATATTACTCTCCCGAAGATGTCTGTGTCCATCTCTGGAAACTATAAATATTTTAGCTGAGATAGTCAGATATTTTGCAGGTGTGATTATATTAAGGATCTTGGGATTATCTGGGTGAACTCAATATAATCACAAGGGTCTCTAAAAAAAAAAAAAGGTAGCTAGGTATGGTGGCACACCAGGAGGTTGAGGCAGGAAGTTTACCATGAGTTCGAGGTGAGCCTGGGCTACATAGACAGTTAAGACCATCCTGAATTCCAGTGTGTGAGGTCTTGTCTCAAGAAAAAGGGGGGAGGGAGGAGATGATGACTGGGCATGGTGGCATATACTTGTTATCCCAGCCCTCAGGAAACTGAGGCAAGAAGATTGCCAAAAGTTCAAGGTCAGCTTGGACTACATAGTGAGACCTTTTCTAAAAAAAAAATAAATAAAATCACACACACGCACTCACACACACACATACATATATACATACTGGAGATATTAACTCAATAATAAAGTACCTTTGGGTTAGATCCTAAATACCATCAAAAGAAAAAACTAGAAAGGAAAAGGTGATGTGGTAGTGAGCAAATGCAAAATTACTACCCAGTTGTTTTGAAGATTGAGGAAGAAACTAAGCTGAGATGTATGGCCATCGTCTGGAAAGCTGACAGAAGCAAGAAATGGATTCTCCCCTTGCGTTTCCCAATAGGACCAAGCCTGCCAACACTGTGACTGTAGCTCAGTGATGTGGCTTCTGACTTCTAGGACCGTGAGATAATAAACTTTATTATTTCAATTATACAAAGTCTGGAAATATCCCAGCAATAGAAAATTAATATACCAGTATGTATAATGGACTGAGCAGCTCAATAATAAAAAGAAATAACCCAGTTTAAAATGTGGGCAGTTTGAACACTTTAGAAAGGAAGATACGTGATTGGCCAATAAACACAACAAATACACAACACCATTACTTATGAGGGAAATTCAGATTTA